ATACTGGGATCACAGCGAGGATACTGGGATCACAGCGAGGATACTGGGATCACAGCGAGTACACTGGGATCACAGCGAGTATACTGGGAGACGTCCCTCCTTTCTTGTGTTTGCTGTGAATTCAGGCCGAACGTTCGATCAGTTAAAGACTCGAAGGATCCTGAAGCTGTTCAAACTCTGCTGTTTGTGACAAATAAACAGATTCAACAGAATCTCTGATTGTTTCTTTCTCAGTGTTTCTTCATTTAAATGTTTTTAGACGTTTAATAACAGACATCAAACATGTTTGTTTCCCTGTTTTGTGTTTATTCATTTTCAAAAATATATTTTGTTTTGCACTAAAAACAAGAAGCTGCTGTGGATCAGCTGCTCGGGGTCTTCCTGTGTGATTGCCTGTTATCAGCTGCTTCACTGTGAGAGGGGCGTGTTGGAGGAGCGACCAATCAGCAGCGGGCGCTCTGACGTCTGCTGATGACAGCTTAACGTCATTAACGTCTTAACGTCAGCGTCTGAAAGCGGACAGAGCGACGTTTGAAACGTGAATCAAACGGCACGATTTAAGACAAGCCGCTGATTTTAAGCTGAGCTCCACGTCCACGGCTGCTGCTCCACTGATGACCGTTCAAACCGCGCCTGCTGCTGATTGGCTGATAAGACGTGAGGTCACAGCCAGGAATATATTCAGAGTCAGAAAGCAGACTTTGTTTCACTGACGTCGTCTTTGGCTCGTTGGTGACGTGAGTTTAGACTCGTGTTACGTCACAGCTGATGACGAGCGCGTCTGTGCTCGCTCTGCTCAGGTGAGCCACTCAGACAGGTGTCAGGCTCCTCCCCCTCTTATGCCCCCCGTCTCTCTATTCCTGTCGCGCATGTCTGTGATCACTTCCTGTTGGAAGTTTCTAGAAATACACTAAGAGTGTAAGTGGAGCCTTTGACGCCATGTTTGTTCAATTCACGCTCTCTCCTCTTTAACAGGAAGCTCCACAGACTCGACTCCCGGCGCCGCTCCGTCCTCGTGGCCCTCGAGCCGCTGTGGTTCTGCTCGTTATAATAACAGTAAGCGGGCAACCGTTATTGTTCAGCGCAAATAATAGACATGAATGGGTTTCAGAGCGCTGCGCGTGCCGCGTCCTATGTGAGAGGGCTTAAACGCCACAGAGCATCATCAGCTATTTTTTCCACATGAACATGGAGAGTTACTTTACATCTAGGTCAAAATTCACCGCTTTTCCAGCCAGTTTGGTTAAGAAATTATGTAAAAATCAGTTTATTAGATCAGGATGCTGTAAAAGTCTGTGAAAAGCTCGTCAGAAGGCTGCATTTTATAACAGCGATGTTTTTTTAAACACCTCTTTATGAGATGTTTTTAAAAAAAGGAAAAAAAAAATATGGTTTTCTACGGTCATTGATGGCTTTGTAGGTCACTCGGTTGTCCAACGTTTATGAGCAGCGGAAAAAAGCGTTCTTGGCCTGAGCTCGCTTTTCTCAGCGCTCTGTGAGAGCTGAGAGCGTTTGGTTTATCCTTTACTTAATTCAAACTCCAATCAAAGAAGAAGTGCAGACACCAAATCATCTCAGATTCACTTTGATCCAAAGTGACTGCCTTAAGTTCACTTTCTTTTATCTTTCTTTGGCACAATCTTTACTTGAATACAAATCCCAGTATGCATTTCTGAAGATTTTTCAACCTAAACCATCAAACAAAAGACAGAATTTTCTTTCTGAAACAAGTGGGGAAAAAGTTGATTCTGTTGATCTGGACGAAGCGTTTTCAGTGGGAGAAACGTTTCGTCACTCATCCAAAGTGACTTCTTCAGTCTCAGCTGACTGCAGGTTTCAATCTTATCAACAGTACATTTGCATAATGACTGAGTAACAATGGGCTGTGAGATGATTGTCATGATGATTGACCAATGACATGAGTACCATTCGGAGAGTTGGGGAACGGCCTCACAGCCCATTGTTAGTCAGTGGTGCTGGTGTCAATAGATAAAATAGACAAACTTATGTGATCACAATGCTCAAAGTGAAATTCGGTCTCCTCTCCTTCTTTGATTGGAGTTTAAACCACCGGGAGACCCTGAAAACGCTCTCAGCTGTCACAGAGCTCACTGAACGGTTTTTTTCCGTCTTTCGTAAACGTTGCGCAGCCTCAAGTGGAGTTCAATGACGGAAAAAAGTCAGTCGTTTTTATTCGCCGCTCATAAGGACGTTTTCTGTCGGGGTTTTCGTTGAGTTTTACAGCGACCTGATTTAAAAACTCCACCTTAAATAATCAACCTTCAGCCACTTTATAGAAAATTTAAGACATTTTAACGCTTTAATTTCCCCATTATATTTTCAGGCTGTTGTCTATTAGCAAAAAATTTAATAAATTTGGGACCAAAAATATTCAACATAAACTGAAAGTCAAACTTAATGTCATTTAAAAATGAGACAAAAATCTGTGTGAAATTCTGATTTTCATGTCAGATCTCAGCTTGTATCGTCTGTAGGTTAGTTTGTGTTTCTTATTTTTGGTCTAATTCTCACTAAACTCTTGTGCTATTAGACTCAAACTGAAAGTTAATATTTGTTTATTTTCCACAGAGTAACTTTCATGTATTTATGATATATTTATGGAACCTCTGCTAACGAAAGATAATCTTGAGAACATTTCCTCATGAAAACAGGCTTAATGTTTGCTTCATTTCACAATGTTTGATGGATTTAGTTCAATATATTTAGTTATTAATGAGGATGTTTGCTGGTTCACAAAATCATCTCAGAAAACAGTGAATTTCCTCATAAATAACTTAAATATAAGTGACTGTGATCTTCAGCACATTAAAGTGTCAGGACTGTTACTCTCACATGAATGTTCATTAAGATGATTCATAAAGAGTGTATGTTCATTGAGCCGTCTCTGCTTTCACCCTGATACAAATTCAACCCTGTTTGATTCTACTTTTTTCCATTTTTATATTAAATATAACATCAGTGTGTGTTTAATGGAATCTAAAAATATTATCTGAGGCAAAAACGGTGATGTCCCAGCACATTTACCATCTACTCTGGATGATAAATTATGTGTCTGACATATTTCCTTTATTTACAATTTATTACAACATGTGATTATTTGTAAGGATGATTAAACTAAGACACGGAGCGACTTCCTGTGAGCTGCAGGAACAGACAAACACACTAAGATGGATCCTGAGCAGCAGACTCAGATCCTGATCCTGGGTTTAAGTTTCCATCCTCTGAAACTCTGCAGCCTCTTATCGTTCTAACAGAATCATCTAACTGTGAGAAACTACACACCAGACTGTCCTGAGGTTTTTCTAGAAGCTTCCACTGAAGGAGAGTTTCAGTCCAGGATGGCTTTTATTAAAAGTCAAATATTAGTTCACAATAATTGTAAAACAAATAAATCTCAGACTGATTATTTAGATCCTGCAGGAGATTATTTTCTGATTAATCAGTTCATTGAGAAATTGTAGCAAAAACAACCATCAAGGTTTCAGAGGCAAAAATCCTAAATATAAACAGAAAACTTCAAATATAATCAATTTTTACTTTATTATTTTAATATTATGATCAACTAATCAGTTAACAGTAAACTTAAGATTATATCATTATTATGCCAGTTCATACAAACATGATGATTAAAGCTGTTTGAATTAAATTAAAGCTTCACAGACTGTAGTTCTACATTTATTATGAATTATTATGTTAATAATTTTAATCTGTAATCTGAATGAAACATTTAATGTGTGCAAACCTGTTTATTACTGTAAACAAAACACACTGAAAACATTAACAGCAAGTATCAGTAAAAAATGAAACATGAACAAACCTCCAGTTTGGTTGAAGCGCTGCTTTGCAATCTCAATGTTGGCTTTGAACGTCTGCTGGGTGCCCACAGCGATCCCAGTGTTGGTCTCCCAGTACTGTGGATCTACTGCACCGTTCACCCAGTCCTGTTTGGGCACCATTTTCTCTGTGTCGCTGTCATAATATTCAACCTGAACATCATCAACCATCCCAACAACCACAAACTCTGGGAAGTTTGGGACTTGAGAGGACGCAGTGTAGAAATACTTCATAGAGTGGGTCACTGTAAGAAACAGTTAATGTTGTGAGATCTCAGGAACACAGATTTATAAATCACGATATTTCTAAAATAACACAACAAGAAAAACTACAGCACATCAAAGTCATCCTGTAATAATCCTGCTGTCCCTTCAGTAAACACAAAATAGATTTATGAATAGATATTCAGTGTTTATTGTAATTTTCTGATCCTCTTTTCTTCAAAACTGTAATTTTAAGTTTTAAAACTGGTGTTTTTATCTTTCAGTTTAGTTTAATTCAGTTTTCATGATTTATGGTTTGAACTCATTGTAACTTTAATTTAAATATATTTTTATTTTCAGTGTTAAAGAAAGTACACATTCTTTTTAATTTGTTTTGCTTTTGTTAGCCGCTGTATGAACCGTAAAGTTTCTTCTTTCCTTTTTCTGAATCAAGCATTATGACTTCTAAAGTGAGTTTCCTTTTTTGTTTCATTTTTTATATTATAAATTATATGAATTGATTTCATTGTTTTGATGTGACTGCCCAGACCTTTTTTTTGATAATTTCTGTAATGGGTTTTCTAAACATTAATATCCATGCTTCTTCTTTGTTTATATTATTTTTATAGACTTTTGTCAATTAATGCACATTCAAAATTGTTAGAGAAACTTTCCAATATGTTTGATCAATAATATTATCAGTAAAAAGCTAATGTTAAGTAAATATTGTTGGGGGAATATTATCTTAAGCATTTTTGATGTTATATTTTATTCTGTAATCAGGTTTGCAGGAGAGTTTTAATTTACATGGATTTGTTTGTTTGTTACTGACCAACGCACATAGTAGTTTAAAACGCTTCTCATTAGCGCCCCCTCGTGGAGGAGCGAGTGTGTTGCAAAAGCTTTCTGGGATTTCTCACCTGCAGCTTCTTATTGATCATTCAGCAGTGATACCAACATTAACTCATGCTGGTAACTCCACGATATTATAAAGCAATAATGACCTAATTTAGTTAATCTGAATTCTATTTAATTTTATTTACATGACACCAAATCACAGCAAAAGTCACATCACTGAGCTGTTACTGAATCAATAACATCAGAAAAACAGTGAACTTACATCCGGGCGTAATTCGTTAGTTACATCATGTGTGCGCAGGTTCTTCAAACAGAAAGTATTCACATGCATAACGCTGGTGAATAATACTGAATACAGTCTAAAGCAGCAGTCTTTTACCTTTTAATGAATTCCATCAAATGACATGTGGTTCTACATACACAGCGTATACTGAACAAATAATTAAACTCTAAAATTTTAACAGATACTTTGTGTTAAATACACTTTAGTGAACTTTAATAATCAGCTGTTGTGTGAAAATGTTTTAATTCCTCATGAAAATTAAAATGCTTCTCCGTTTTTAAAGAACAGTGTTGATTATTGTCACCAGATTATCAACGAGCCTCCTCACTCATCTTTTATTTGTTGGACTGTTTGGAAACACAACAGAGTCACAACCTTTAAAAACGCGTCATGAACGATTTAAAGACGAAAATCATCAAATAGTTTTGGACAGAAATCGCCCTGTTTTAATCTTTGCCTTATTTATTTATTTATATTAGCTAAACGTAATTTTTAATCTAAACTTTAATGTTTATTATTAGGGATGAACAGAGAAACAGGCTATTTAATTACATGTATAAAATGATCGATTGTTTCTTAACATTGATATTATCTACACGGATCTATAAAAACTAATGTTTAGCGTACAGGAAGTCTCTGGGGAACAAACAATCTGTCAATGTGTATTTCAAATTACATAAATCTGACATATAAAAAACACAAAAACATTCAAATCAAACTGACCTGCCGCTGCCCCCTGTATCCCCAGGAGAAGAAGGAAGATGAAGACCTTCATTGTGACCATAAACATCCAAACCTTTAACAGACTTTGTGTGTTCGCCTGTCCTTACAGCTCAAGTATCAACGCAAAAATAGGAGAAAACGAGGAGAACCAGGAGGTACGTCCCCACTGGGCTCCATTTGAGCCAATAGGAATTTACTCTGACAGTAAACGTCACTTAAATCTGGGGTAAACGCAGCCTTTAGGGTTATTAACGAAACTGAAAGTAAAATATCTTCATATGAACCATGAATGATGAAGGGAAGGGTTAAAGTTCATCTGGTCTTTAATATTTTTGATGTTATGACAGGCGTAGTTTGTGTTGTGCTGGGTAGACATCTATAACCTATTATTATTATTAGTAGTAGTAGTAGTAGTGGTATAAATCTGGGTTCACTCTTTAGCCGTTTGGTACAGATTGCCCCTGGAGTCTGTGAGGTTACGGTGTCTTTAAAGGTGAAGAATGACTGATGAAGAGTACATATCAAATGTGATTTCACCGAGTTGCACTGAATGGTTGTGGTGTGGGCTGCCTCCAGTGGATAACATCGTTAAGATTCTCAGTGGAGTGATTGGTATTCATTTTACATCGACATGTGTAGCGAGGGGAGCCGTGATGAAAGCAGTATAACACTTAACCTGTCTTTTTTTAACAGTTTTTTTTTTAACATATAACCATTAAATAATATTTACGTCACAAGTTACTTATAAACGTGTTTGTTTCCTGGCATTAGTTTTGTTTTGAGCAACAAATAATAATTCCAGTGAGCCCCCTCCCCCCTCATTTCATGATTTGGTTTGGTCCAGGTCTGCGTTCCTAGCTGACTCTAGGGGATGTTAAGAGTCAAGTCTGGGTTTCAAGAATCAAACAGAGATAGATAGTAATTAAACTCACAGCAAAGTCCAAATGAAGCACAATACTGATCCTTAATTTTTTTTTAGAGCTGGCATGATTTTCAGTTTGAAAGTGGTGGGAGCCATATACATATATAATACATATATATTCGTACATAAATAACACCGAAAACCATGCCAGCCCTAAAAAGTTAAGGATCACTAGTTTTTCTGTGTGGAATTTGCATGTTCTCTCCGTGTTTGTGTGGGTTCTCTCCAGGCTTCCTCCCACAAACTATTTGAAGTTTTCAAACCTGAATAAGCATTTTCCAAAAGACGATAGTTAGCATGCAAAAAACCTGTAACTCCATCAAAACCTTTATTCATTTTGAAATGTCTGTGAACAAGTCTGTGCAATCACGATGAAATAGTTTCTTTAATATTGTGTTAACAGCGTGGTCAAAATATTTACACATTTTGTGAGATACATTAACAGAAAATAAACTTCAATTTTACACAGTACAGGACAGTAGTAATGTAGTCTTAAAAGTGCCGGGAATCACAACACAGGAAGTTCGTCCTGCCCCTTTGTCCAGTCAGCCTAATCATTCTCTTGCCTTAATATTACTCTGGCGGGTTTGTGTGTGCAATGGTTGTGGGCGGGATTTACTCCAAGTCCCCCACCCCCTCCTCACCTGCCTCACAAGGCAGGTCAACGATTTAGAGTTGATCAACTCTAAATCGTTGACCTGCCTTATGAGTGAAACTATCCCTGAGATATCTGACTGTGTTCTCTGCGACTTCTGGCAATGAATTGTATGTTTCCCTGTGCACAGGTCTTCCCTGGTGTCCCATCCCTAAGGAATGTCGAGAGTGTTCCTGTGTTTCCCTCCCTCTGGATTGACATTCTGATCAATTTTGTGTTGTTTTGTTGCCTAAACCTTTGAATCTTTAGATGCAAATCATCCTCATCCCAGCTCAATACTAAACAGCATTAACAGAAAAAGACAAATCTTTAGTTTTGATTGTGTAGGTGGAATACCTCACCCATAGACAGAACAGTTTTCACTAGGGATGCACCGATACCGATACTGGTATCGGTATCGGGGCCGATACTGTAAAATGTGTGTGTACTCATACTCGTAAAAGTTAACCGATACCATGAACCGATACTAACTTATTTCATTAATCAGAGGGTGGCTTGTCATTTCTGTTGTAGTTTTTTAGATTGGCCACTAGGGGGACATCCTGCGCTAAACAGTCACAGGGTTAGGCGAGTGAGACTGGCGGCTCCAGATAAAAAAGAGAAACTGGAGGCTGCTGTAGCTAGGCTAAACAAAATGTCAGCAGTGTGGACCGGAACAGCCAACTTTAACTCAGGTTTTGGAAAAGCGATGAAAAATGTCAAGAGAAAATCCACGGGCAGTTAAAATAACAGAGGCTCTGACTCATTTTATCGCTCTGGATGACCAGCCAATGCCGGCTGTGGAAAACATAGGATTGCACCGTCTTCTCAGCATACTCGAGCTGCGATATGAAATTCCCAGACAGTGCCAATAGTTCAGTGATATTTTGTAAAATTACAATGTGGAGACTCTGCAATAATTTAACAGAAGTGCTTATTTTTCACTTGAAATTTTTGTGGTCATTTTTATTAAGATTTTATTTTTTATCGGCAGGGAATATAATAAAACCTGTCTTCCAATTAATTGTATTTGTGTGTGTGGTAGAAGTATCGGTTTTTGTACTCTGTATCGGCAAGTACTCAGATCAAAGTATCGGTATCGTATCGGTTTGAAAAAAATGGTATCGTTGCATCCCTAGTTTTCACAATAGAAAGTCTGAGTTTTCTTGTTTGTTTGTGTGTCAGACTTTAAGGATGTTAGTGTATACCTTCCAAATAAAGTTAATTGGTGGGTCATTGTGTGGTAAAAATCAAGAACGCTTGTAGACACATTTTTTATACATAAATTATTTTATTTATTTATAACCTTTATTTAATTATAGTATGCACCTTGAAGTTATTTATAAACTCAGCTGAACAAGGAGACTTTGACACCACATAAAAAATAGACAAAGAAGAGGTGACCCAGCTACCAAAGGCCTTCTGGAGGGACACAAGTTCAACTCTGTCCCAGACTATTTTCTCCATGTCTTCATTCTTGTGCTACTTTCCTCTCACTTTCTACACTTTCCTACCAAATAAAAAATAAAAAAAAATTGCTCAATTGAGCAGTTTCCTTAACATGAAACATAACGTTTCAGCAGCTATATCACTTTTAACTTAATAGCTCCTTGAGCCTTGGCCATCAAACCGATCAATTTGCCAATTCTCTGCACTTGAGTCATTGTTTCCCATCATATTGTATTTAAAATGTTTGCTCTCTGTGACCTTGGAATGATGCTCCTGCATCCTTCTAAGACAGAAGGCATCAGCCTCTCATAGCTAACTTTTCACTTTCATGTAAGTTCTGATGTTTAGTGGTTAATTACCTGAGCTGTAATTATAGCTGTGATTTGGCAAAATGCAAACTTTTGCTTTCCTGTTGCAGGTGATTCAGCACGATTCAAGCTATTTGTGCAAAAACGGAGTGTGACGAATCAAATTAAGTTCTGCTGTCCAAAGGTGATGTAGAGGGAGTGACTTGGTGACTCACCTCATTAAAGATTTTATTGGATACAGATTTCACTGGACCAGCAGGAGAGGCAAAGCGAAAAGTTTCTTATGAATTCCTTTTTCTCTTCATTTCATAGCCGTTAGTGTTTGATTCAGATTTGTGTAAGTGTGTGTCAGGAATAATATAGCTCTGCAAAGTGTGAAATGGAGAATATTGAGTGGTGCTCTCACTTATTTGGCCAGCATGCCTTCTGATACTCTGCACTTGAGACTGAAGAAAATTAAAAAATGATTAAATAAACTTAAAAGGCTAATGGCCAAAAAACAAACGACGCTTCTGGACCCACTTCATATTTCCTTTTTGCATGATAGTGTGTTAGCTGCCATCTGCAGACGGCAAGTTATGCAGTGTCATCTGAGGGCCCCGTCTTTTCCATTACGCACAGAGCAATCTCCAGCTTCTCTGAATCTTTTGATAATTTTATGCACTGTAGATGATGAGAGTTGCAAAGTCTTAGAACATTGAGTAACATTGTTTGGACTGGAGAGCCTCTCTAAGATTTCCCTTTTATAGCTAATCATGTTACAGACCTGATATCAGTTAGCTTAATTACTTGCTGGATGTTCACCGAGCTGAGTCTTTTAGAAATTTCTTGCTTTTTCAGTCATTTATTGCACCCATTCCAACTTTTTTGAGACCTGTAGCAGGTGTCAAATTGGAAATGAGCTCATTTTGTGAATTAAACTGTAAAGTTTCTAAACTTCTATGTTACCTACGTTCTGTTGTGAATAAAAATATTGGGTCTGAAAGTCTTTCAGTTTTCATTTTGTTCAAATTTAAAGAATGTCAAAACTTTTCTGGAATTTCGGTTGTATAAACATCTACCATTAGCTGTTTTTTTTACAACCCAATTGTAACCAAGTCTTACCAGCGTGAACTGCAAAGACATCTGCATAAGTTTCTAATCACAGACCTGGAATTCTTTGCTGTGATCTGAGACTGCATAAAGCCTTATGGGGAAAGAAGAAAAAATACACAAGCATGAGTCATTTCTTATGAAGTGTTAAAAATTAAAATATATCCAGAGTAGTATACTCACTTTAATCTATCAAGTTAAAATAGAAAGTTGTCCCTAGATGTTAAGGCTTTCCCTAATAAACACCTTTAGCCTCCAGAGCTTCAGCAGAGATCAACGACTATATAGAAGACAGAGGACTTTCTCCCATTGGACAGAAAAGAGTGTAAAACTGGGACATCTGGGTTTCCACCTTATACCTGCCTTTTTGTTTGTTTGGACTTGAGACTGAGGTCCTTTAATGTCTGCAGGAAGCTCCTGAGGATGTTTTACTAGTCGGTTGTTGCAGAGTACTGTTCTATGCTGTGCTGTGCTGGGGAACAGCATAGCAAAGGACTCATCCAGACTGGAAAAACTGATCAGGAAGGCTGGCTCTGGTGACAGTGGCAGAGAAGAAGACACGAAAGAAACTGCTGGACATCTTGTGGATACGGCCATAAACAACCAGAGGAGTCTGTTCAGTGACAGGTTGCTTCTCCCAAAGTCTAGAACCAACAGACTTGAAAACTCCTTTGTCCCACACGACATTAAACTGTTTAACTCCTCACTGGA